AGGAGGCATTTTAGGACAGCTCACATTTCATTCTCAGTGTGATTCTCGAAGCCTAAGGTGCAGACGTGTGCTGGTATTTTAATCCAGCACTGGGGGAGGCAAATCTTAACACTTGTTGTTTGCACAGAATGTGTCTGTGAATTTGTTATCAATCAGTCCAGAATCTGTCATAGCCCCTGGTTATTTCAGAGCATTTTGGTATCACTGTCCTGGAATGCACTACATTGTTTGGAAGTTTGTACTACAAACAACATCAGTCAGAATAGAATATTTATTTTTTTCTTTACATAAGGCCCTGAACTGTCCCTTAATCATTTCCTCTGGAGTGTGGTGCTTAGCAAATACTAATCTGAAATTAAGCTCATAACAGGAAGCTCTCGATTCTGAAAATATGATCATTTGACTTGTTTTGCCTTCTGAAGACAAAGGGCAGAAGGTTGGTCAGTGTTATTGGCATCTGAACCAATTCCCCAGTGTAAGTCTGGCAAGTTTTTATAGATGGGGGATTTTGTGAAGCAACGTGCATTGGATTTGTTTGCTAAGTGTGTTTTTTCTGTAATCTAGTGATGGTACAGGATGTGTTTTTTTTTTTTAAATAGTGTAATATCTTTACTTGGTATTATTTTCTCACTGAAGCTTTGTATAAGCATGGTTAATTATGACTCGTTTCAAAGTAATTTTGCTGTGCTTTTAGTGCTGGTATTTGGATGGCAGCTGTTGTATCTGGATCCTAAACATAAGTCTGCTGTAGAAATGGTTTGTGTCCTGGAAAGAATTAAAGTGGATGGGGGCTACCAGAGTGGTGACTGAGTACAGAAATTCATACTTTGAGCCTGCTACACAAAAACACTCTCAAATCAGTTTAACTAAGATTTCATAAAAACAACCAGGTATATTTTACACTTATCAAGTGCCAACTTTTTTCTGAGGGTTGAAAGTCCTCAGAAGTGATGGAGGTGATGGATAAGTGTATTGTGAATTTGCACTGCGTTTTGTGTATGGAACTTTCTTGGTATTAGTAGTCCAAAAATATTTTTACTACTTGTTAAATCTTCTGTCTTTTGGTAACTTTTGTGATAACAATGACCTTTCAGGGATACTTTATCTAAAAACAAACTCTTGTGCACACTAAATAACAGACAAAGCTAATGCAATTTTTCTGTCTGAAAGCAAAACAATGCATTATTGCATATGCATGTGGCTGATGTGCCTTAGGATCACTACTGGTGATTGTAATTCTAGGAAATTAGCATTTTTATCATTTGAATGGCCATTGCTTAACTCTGATTTAAGGGCTCTTCAAGAGCACTGATTTTACAAAGAAACTCACCCTCATACTTCAGAAAAAAACAGCTGTATCTGCTATTTGTAAGCTTCTAGTTGCCTTCACTGATGGGTAAGTTTGAACATAGGTGATGTAACTGATGTGGTGTCTCAGTTATTACAGTCTCATAACTGAAGTCCAGCTGCTCATGGACAACGTTTTGCCATTAATTTGTGTGTGTGTGTGTGCACACAAACTGTAAATATTTACTTGACTGCTGGTGATGTTTAAGGGGAAAGGAGAAAAATGGCTGTGGAAAGCTGTTTAAATCCTTCCAGCAACAAACTTGAAACACTAACCTGGATCAGTTGGGCAAGAGCTGTGTCAGTGCTTTCAACCTGTTGCCCTTGAACAGCTTCTCCTGTTCTGTTATAGCTAATATATGAATTCTGCTCTGGCTAGGATGTTTAGAGTTGTACTAATTTGCACTGTTTATAAGATAGTGAGATTAAAATGCCATAGGCAAGCTGAGACTTGAGAGGGGGTGGCTCAGGATGCTTGCCAAATATATACATATATATATATAAAATGAGGATTTTTGATGTCTGCTACAAATAGCATATACTTCCCCAAAGCAATTGGAGTGGAGAAAAATCTCTTAAATACAATGTGTAACACGGCTTTAGAGTGTTGGTAGCATTGGAAATGCTCTCTTTGGGTGGCATTACTTCTGCCAGTCGTTTGTCTGCAGTTTTGTAAGTTATAACTAGTTTTATATGGTTAGACTTTGGTTGGTGATCAGCACTGAACTGTCCTAACTCGGAGGTGGGTGTCAGTGCTGTCTCCTAGAGAGGGTGCAGTCGGTTGTTCCAGCACAGCTGATCCAGACAGGTCACCTCTGACCCTGGAGGGACGACAGAGCAGGAGCTTTTGTGGGATGCCAGGAGGCACCTGGGCACAGGCTCATCATGGCTTTAGTGCCCCAACTTCCACAACCTCAGTCTCGACCTCTCTTGGGACTTCTCTGCCCTCTCTAACTGGAATCATGACGTAGACACAGAGCTCCAACCCACAATTCCCTACAGAGCTTCCTGGCAAACATGGAGTTTGGAGGAGGCAGAGTCATCCTGCACCAGTTCCTCTGTGGGATCCTGGACTGTCTAATAAAGGGGCAGTTTAATACTGAGCAAGTTGTGAAACATACAGTGGATTTGTTTGCATAATGAGTCTTTCTGTAATCTACTGTGTTCTGATTTTAAATAAAATAGCATATCTCTTGGTGCCCTGTTCCTGTTGTGGCTTCATTTAATCAGGGTGCAGTTACTTACATTAATGATTTTCAGTCTTAATGGTGTTTTTTCTGTAGCAACATAAACACAGTTGTAGGTGGATGTAGAACATAAAAATGACATTAATTATTCATGGTAAATCTGTTGGCTGTGTTTTTAGTGACTGGATATAGCGAGTCCATTTTGTGTGTAGCTGATCCAGGGTGTGCTCAGAGAAGGTTCTGCACGTTGTAATCATGGCAACGAGGTAGGTGGCTTGTCTTGTCAGCTAGAATCTCTTTGGTTTTGTTTTAATTTCCTGCAGCTAGCTGGAATAGTGGGAATGTTCAGAATCTTCACTTGGAAAAGCTGAAGGAAGGGAGAGAGCTGCTTTTATTTGTTAAGAGAGGGAAACCTTAGATTTCAGCCAAGTTAGGAGAAATGAGTCAACCAAAGTTATTTAGGAATATGAGTCAGAGGGCAGAAAAGACCTGATGTAATTTTCTGTGATATCTGTCACTTCAATAGCGTGTGAAATAGAAATCCTGCTGCGGAATAACTGATTTTATAGGGAAGAAAATCCCTGTTTTAATTGTTTCTAGATGTGTCCTGTTTGTGGTGGCTGCAGAGATTTGACAGCCTTCTGCTGATGCAGAAATAGGAGAGTACAGATGAGGAAAACCTGCTGTGCTGACTCAGAGCAGGTGGGCGAGGGCAGGGGAAGGTGTTATGTAAAAGCTGCAGCTCTTCAGCTCAGCTCTTCGAAGAATTTGCACCAGCTCCACATGTGCCTGTCCCAAAACTGGGATTTGGGTGGCCCTTCCCCAGGAGATGGTTCCACGTGGGATTGTTCCCAGTGCAAAGGAGAAGTCAGCTGGTAGGGTCAGACCTTGCCAGGGAGGGGACTCGGAAGTCAGGTGGATCACAAAAAACCAAAGTGCCACAAAAGAGACAGGTGTGTCAGTGACACAACGTGGTATCTCATGTGACCTTGACTTGTCCCTTCCCTGGAAGCGGCTTTGAAGGCTGTGCAAGCCCACATAGATCCTTCCCCAGCCCTTGTTCCTGTAATTTGAGTCCTCTCTGGTTGTACATTAATCATCCCTCACAGAGCCCTCTACAGATTTGCCTGTTTACCTCTCTGAGACTTTGTCACTGGAAACAGGATGTGTTGCTTTGGGTTTTTTTGAGATTTTTGCCTTGACTGGAGTTTCAGAGACTCCTTGCTGAGCCTGTGCCCCTGGACACCTTGTTCCTGGCAGCCTGTGGTGAGCTCTCAACCTCACCTGAAGCCAAATCTCCATTTTCCCCCTACCTGCAGGATAAATCATAGGCTGCTGAGGCTGGAAACTTTCCAGTGCATACCTTGAACCCTGGATCCTGCTGGAAGCTGAAGGCTATTTTTGACACTGTGTGATTTCCAACCTGCTCAAGGGTGGTTTTTTTTCTGCACTCCTGTAGGTGTTGAGTAGGAATTATTTTTTTCTTCAAAGCTAAAAAAAAAAAAATGTTTCCTCTCACCATATATTGTAATCCCACACCTTGCTATATGCTCTTATTCTAGCAACCACTGCTCAGGATGGGTTGATTTCTGAGAGATTCAGTAGTCCTGAAGGAAGCTGGTCCCATCCCAGGAGAGATGAGAAGGGTGGGAGAGGATGGGAGGCGACAAAGTGGCTCCAGTTCTCAGCACTGGAATGACATCACCTGGTTGAGGAGAAAATGCTGATTGTGGAGAAATGTGGAAATGTCCTTTGGCCTGAGGTGTGTGTTGGTTGTCTCACACCTACAGATGTGAAAGATGGTACAAGGGGACTCCAGCTTCGTATTTTTGTTGTGATTTAAGCTTGCATACCCACGAGGCATTTGTTAAATTATTGTATTCGCTGGTATTTCTGTATTTCCCAGGTCATTTTTCCAATTGGGCCATTCAGGGAATGCTGTCCCTAAATATAGAGTTGCCCAGACTCAAGTAACTCATGCCAGGCAGGTTGGGCACAGCAGGGAAATCACCTGCCTTGCAAAGGGCGGCTGCTGTTCGTGCCTTCAAGGGCTCTTCAAAACATATTTTTACAGAAGTTTGGGTTTTTTTTTTAAACCTGACTTCCTAGAGTGTGTACCAGCAGTGTTTTCTATTTCTGTGCTTCATTTCAATGCACTTTTTTTCCCCCCCAATGATCTAAGAAACTTGTGTTTTGTCTACTTTGCTCTCTATAGTGAGGTTGTTGCTGAACTTCAGCTGCTTCGTATGCTCATGTTCAAACTAGTTTGTGGTTACTGGAGCTTTGGCTGCTGAGGGAGCCAGAGGGTGGGGAGAGGAGGGTTTTGATAACAGGCTGTTTGAAAGCTGCTTCAGACAAAGTAAATTGTACTTACTAACCTCGGTGGAAGGGAGCAGAATGTAATATTTCACAACTTGGTTATTTTCCATTGCTGCTCTTACAGGTACTGACTAAAATTTGGTCTCGGGAGCACATGGAGTAAAACATCTTCCTCTCTCCACAGCCACAGTAATGGTATTTAAAAGTAATTAGCAAATTGGATGCTGCACAGCAGGATGTCTTGATGGGAGTCTCAAAATAAACCTCTGCATACACAGTTTGCCATTCTGATATTTGTGCCTGCCATAAATAGCAAACACTTCCCAAAAAAGTATAAGACTTAAGAAAATCTTAGACAGGATGGTAAGTTTAATTTTGGTATAAAAAATTAACTTGGATTACATTTCAAGTGGGGTTTGGACCTTGTTTTTATTTTTGCTGCTATTTTTTGAGACTGTACATGGTGGCCTGGGTGGTTTTAAGTAAATCATAATGAGAGAGCAGTGGGGGTAAACAAGTTACATTTATCCATAGCATCAATCTTATAGCCACAGTTTTATTTTTGAATTCTTTAAACATTAAATATAGCAAATTCTTTAAACTTTAAATAGAGCTGTGGCTAGACTTCTGGTAGCGAGAGTTTAAAAGTTTGCATTCTCGATTAATCAGCGTTTCCATGAAGAAATGTGATGGTGTGAGTGGTTGGATGGCGTCAGTCTCACAGCAAATATGTCTTTATCATTGCCTATAAATAGACCTTGAGCTACTGCAGAAGGCACTTCCTTGAGAGAAAAGGGCTCTGAAAGAAATGAAACTCAGCAGGAAACTGGCCCCTGTCACTGCTGTGTCATTGTCACTTGATGTGACAGCGGTCACCCGAGGGACACGGCTGCGGAACCTGCTCCCAGGGCTCCCGGTTCTCCGTAGCCTCATGGAAAGGCTGAGAAGGATGTAAACCTTCAGGACGGAGATGATGTTGACATAACTTGCAGGATTAGACCAGCTGCTTGCCCTGCCCAGCAACACCACTATCAACACCAGAGCCTTTCCATGGGGACTGCACTTCATGCACACAAGGAGCTGGGAAATGAGCACTGGCACTCGTGTCACTGCCCAGAGTATTTGCTCATAAACCTGTAAAGTCTGGTTTGTGACGTGTAATCTCGGAAATCGTAAGCCATGATGAGACTGCTACATAACTAAAATAAATAATAAAATACATTATAAATGTGTTTTCTTGAGATACAGCCACTTGTGATTCTCGTTAACTGCTTTATGGCCTCCTGTCAGTCACAGGGATGAAAAGCTGTGGGTTTTACTGCGGCTTTTATGAAGTTTGATTGTAATTGTTTTTGGGGGTCACAAGGAATTGGATGAAAATATTGATTCTAGACTTTTTTTTTTTAAATCCTCACAAATCTCCTCTTAAACACAAGGGAGCTGTGTTCACGCTGTTGTGGATGTTTGTGCTGAGCTCTGAATGCTCCAGTCTTATCACCCAACTTCCACCAAGAGCTGCAGTGACCCTCAGTCCCAGTGAACCACGGAATAAACCAGATCCCCATTTCCTGCAGGCGTGGTCCCACTGAGCAGCTGGGAGGCTGCAGGCACCAGCTGCCCTGGCTGGGAGCTGGATGGCAGCACTGATCCTGCACCTGGAGTCCTTTTTATTTGTTTAAGCTACTTATTTTCATCAAGGCTGCCCATCACCATGGCTGCCAGCAAGAGCCAGGAACTCATGGGCTACTGTGCTCACACTGGGCAGGGGCTGATCTGGGCTTTCTGCATAATATATATTAAAATATATAGAATATATAATAGTATATATGAAATCATATTATTATATACAATATTTAAATAAATAATTATTGTATATAATTATAATTAACTATTATATAGTGCATAATAGTATAGATACATAAAATATGCAAAAATGCACATATAATATACACATATAATTATAAATTATCTAATATATGTCATAATTATATATAATATATAATTATCTATTGTCTATTACATTATATATAGTGCATAAAAGTATAGATACATAAAATATGTAAATATGCATATATATATATATACATATATATATATATAGGCACAGGCAGAGCCATAGATACACGTGGCTTCACATATATACAGAGAGAGGATTCTATTTATATGTGTGTGTGTATTTATGAACTTTTATATATATTATTTATATTTATTTATGCACATTTAGCTAATTCCTTCGAGGCACTTCACTGCCTTTCTCTGCCCCACACAGCTCAGGGCCAGTTTGCTGCAATCACCAGATCCCCCCCATGCCATTGACTCCCTCCCCACCAACAAGCAACACAAATGTATTTTAAATATTTCTCCTTTAATAATCTACATCCTTGTAGTTGCTCCAAGGAAAGACACAGTTGACAGGATTTTGAGTCTGCCCCCACGTCTCTCCACATCAGTAATTCCTTATTGCTGCAGACTTCTCTATCCCCCGGCCCCTGTAGGCCATGGCTAGATTAAATTCTGCTAATTATCTTAAATATAAAACATAATGCAACTTATCCCTTGACATTGCTGTAGTAATAAAAAATAGAAAAGGAAAAAAAATAAAAATGTTTGTATCCTTATTGCCAGTGTGTGTCAGTAACTGCTTTTCCCTTACAAAAGCCCTGCTTCCCTTCCTGCTGAGGGCTGATCACACGGCCCAAACAAAGTCAAGTGATTCCCAGGCTGAAAAAAGGGAATTTTAAAAAATGGTTGCAAGAAAAGCCCAACAGTTTCCTACTGTAAAAACAATTCACAGTTCTTAGAAAGGGTCTGAGCAGTACAGTAGAGCTACATTTACTGAAAACTTCTAGTGCTGATAAAGTCCTTAAAAAAAAAAAAATTAACCCGAACGAACCCCAAATTAAATTAAACCAGGAGAGCCAGTTGGCAGTCGAAGAGGAGAAGGAGGAGGAGGAACAAGAGAAGACAGAGGAAGAGGAGGAGGGAGAGGAGGAGGGAGAGGAGAAGGAAGAGGAGAAGGAAGAGGAGAAGGAGGAGGGCACTCTGCGCTGCCCGGGGAGCACAGGAGCCCCTCTGCTCTACGGATAGGAGCCAAGAAAAAAAAGAAAAACCTACAAAATAAAATATATTCTTTAAAAAAAAACAAAACAGTTTGGGTTTTTTCCAGGCCGGGCGGTGAGGAGACCCCGCGCGTGAAGGCACAGCAGCGCGAAGGCAACGTGATCCCAGGGACCCTCGGCAGCCCCTGCTAGACGTTGGCCCCGTGAGGGGGGCACAGGCCGGCATCTCGCTCGGGCTGAAACGAGAAGGGGGACAGAGCCAAATATCAGTCACTCGTGCCGAGAACACCCACCCTCCCTGACTTATACCCCTCTCTGGGGTCCCTACCTCCCCGTGGCCGGGTTTCTGGGCGATGGGGGGTTTCTTGAGGATGCCTCGTCGCGGGGCCGGTGCCGGCCTGGCCTCCCCGTCCTCTGCTGCCGCGTCGCAGCCCCCGGCCAGGACGTAGTGCTGCTTCCTCAGCTCGCCCAGGCGCACCCGCTCCCCCTCCAGCCGCTTCTCCAGCTCCAGCACCTTCACCTGCGCCCAAACAGCCCTCCTGGGACCCGTGCTGGGGGGCAGAAGGGACCCGCCCTGTGCGGGTCCGGATCTGTCCACAGCCACACCGAATCCACCTCATGGCCGTACCTGTGTTTCCATCTCTTCCTTCTTCAGCTTGATGAGGGACATGCCCGAAAAGTCCATGGTGTCTGTGGAGAAAAGCAGGGCTCCTCACAAAGTGCACCCTCACACACCAAAAGCAAAGCTGGACAGACACCTCAGGGCGTTCCCCAGGCCAGAAAGGAATTGGGGTGGTTTCTTCTACCTTTTCCTTGCAAAAGCCTCACCTTTCTCCTCGATCTGCTCCTGCCCCGACTTGGTGGAAGCCACCACGTTGGCCGCCATCTCGTTGACGTTGCGCGAGCACTCCTGGAGCCGGGCCAGGTTCCTGCTGCTCTTCTCGGCTTTCACCTGCAACGGGCACAGGGATGGCTGTGGGTGCCACCACGGCACCTCCACCTGGGGGCTCGACACTTTGGAGTGGCTCAGGCAGAGACACCGAGCGCCCCATGTCAGAGCTTGGGCACAAAAACCCAGGGGTGGAAAGGATGGATGGACAGATGGGAAGGTTTATCCTCAATGATCCCATCATGGCCAGACAAGGTGATCCCTGCAAAGCCCTTCAGCCCCAGGGCACCAAACCAGCTCTGTTCCCACCTGAGCCAAGCACACAGTGAAGACATAGCTATAATTTTAAAAATAATTTTATATTATATATAATATATATATTTTACTTAAATATATATAATTTACATGTATCTAAATATACTATGCATAATATCAATATACTATTATATTTTATCTTATAATTAACTATAACCTATATTCATATATTAATTTAAATAATCAATTATAATATAGTCTATAATTTATAAGTAATGTATTATAATATTGACATATATATACATTCTATATATAAACTGTAAAATTAAAAACATAATCATTTTATAATGTTAGAATTATATATTATAACATACAATGTATTCTATATAATATATTGTTATATTTATTATTTTATTATATTATTAGATATTATATAATACCTAATAAATTCTATTATATATTAGTATAATTATAAAATTTATATATAAAAATAAAAATTATATAAATATATTAAACAGCAAATGCTATATTAATATAATCACATAATTACATATAACCTATAATATAATAATACAAATAAATATAGATCTTAAAAAACTATTTTTTAGAAAAAGAAATTTTTTTTTTTTTTATACAAATATATGCATTTTAAAACCACCTGCTGTAAAAAGCCTTATGGATCCTCCACTCCCCCACCTGCATCCTTGTTTGCTCACTGAAACCTCTACCCATCGCTTTCACCCACCCCAACAGGGAAGGTGGCAAGACCCAAATCCACCATCCTCAATTCTGGCTCCTGCAGCTGCTTTTTTGGATTTCTTGTTAGTTATTAACATTTTCTTTACATAACAAGATGGGAGGTTTTACACACCTTCACTTCCAAGGCAAGCCCTGGGTGTGGGAATATTAATGCACATGAAGACACATGGATTAAACTCATGGACTGACCGGAAAATGGGAAGAGCTTCCCTTCTCCCTGCCCCAGGAGGCTGCATTGCTGGGAATGCTGTGGAACAGAATGACCTATGGCTTCAGGAGACAGGCAGAGGATCCTGCTGGGACACCCACCTTGGAGGCAGCCACGAGCTGGGCTGTGCTGGCAGCGATTTCATGGGAGCAGACGATCAGTTCCTCGTATTTTCCCATGTGCAGGACAACCCTGTCTGCCGACTCCCTGTGTTACAGCCAGAAGGGAGATGGTATTAGAGACACCCTGCACCACAAGGCAAGTACAGATTATTCGTCTCCTGCTAATATCCCTAGAAATCAACACCAGACCTGGATCCAGCAGCTTTGTCTGTAATTATAGAATCACAGAATCATTAAAGTTGGAAAAGACCTCTAAGATCATCAAGTCCGACCATTATTAAAGCTCATTTACAAAGCAATTATTCAAAGCCTTGATCCAGACATTTTGGACAGAGAGGATTTTGTTTCCATGAGATTTTTAAAGCTTTGTCCAAAAGACTCTTCACATTTCCTGCACAAGGATACCCTGCCCTGATCCCAACCACCCCAGCCACAACCACCTGAGCAGGAACCAGGACATGGATTATTTGATTTCATATTCTGCAAACAGGGAGGAACTGGCATCCCTAACTGGGTGACCGTGTGGTCCCACCCAGGCCATGATGCTCTACATGGAATTAGCAATGAGCCACATGAGGCTCCATAAGGAGTTAGCAAAGATGTTCCACAAGGGATTAGCCATGGTGCTCCATGACAGCTCAGCAGTGGGATGCTCTGGATTATTGGGTGGTGGAGAAGCAAGAGCCAGCCCTGCAAGGGTGCAGCACATGGAGCCGTGTCCCAGAGGAACATCCCAGTGTGGGGGTACCTACACGAGCTGTGTGGCTCCCCAGCCCACGGCCTTGGAGGCAGAGATCAGCCCTTCGGTCCAGCGAGAGTTCTTGGCATAAAATTCCTGAGTTGTTGCTGCCCCCTGTTGTTATGAGAATGTTACAGCCTGGATTAACTTCTGTCTAATACACAACAATACATAAATCCATATAAAATATCTG